GCATATTGCCCCAACAATCTGGGTTCTCATTTTACCCACCTCGGAAGAATGGAAGCAGTGGTGGGTTGCTACCGGTTCACACCGGTTCGGGAGGACCAGTAGTGATAAATTGGCAAGAGTCGCAGAACCGGTATTAATTGCTGGCTGGCACCACACAAATCTGATGTAATTAGATCTTTCCAGTGTAAACATGATAAAAAGGTGAGAAAGAATGCACAATCTCAAATGCATAATAAAATTAACTTCAGTTTTATTTAAAACAATTAGTATTTTGCAGCATTGAAATTATCAAGCATCATTAGCTCCATTTAATGGAGTTTACTACAGCACTTAATGTCACCAAATGACTTACAGAGTTGAGTACTATGCATATATACACCAATGGAGGAAAAAGTCAACACCCTTTCTTTAAAACATAACATTTAAGATCTATTTCTTTATTTTTGTTTTACTAAAAACAGAATCTATGCCTTCTAGTGGAATACACATAATTTTCTTCATAATGAAGAAAATGTTTCAAATCAGAAGTGCCATCTTTTATGAAATTTGCCTTCTGTTCTTGTTCTCTGTAGTAATTAATGAAGTGCATGCAAATGGTTTTTCCCAGTTTCTTTTTATCACATTGGTGGATGTGTTTAGACCAGTGATGGTGAACGTTTTAGGCACAGAGTGCCCAAACCGGAAGGCTGTGTGACAAAACCCCACAACCAGCTGGCTGGCGTGCATGCACACGATAAAACCTGACGACTAGCTGGCTGGCATGCATGCACGCCTCGGAAACCAGATGACCAGCTGGCTGGTGCACATGCATGCCTCGGAAACCCGACCAGCTGGCTGAGCTTGGGCGATGGCACGCGTACCCACAGAGAAGTTTTTCCTTGCCACCTCTGCATACATGCCATAGGTTCTCCATCGAGGGTTTAGACCAGGATTATAGTGGACAGGATTATGGGTAGATTGGGGGCCTCCACGTGTTTGTTGGACCTGTGTCCATCCTGGCTTGTTCCGGCAACCGGTCCGGGCAATTGTCAACACTTCATTGAGGGACGGGATCTTCCCTGCCACCTTCAAGGAGGCGGTGGTTCGACCGCTTCTCAAGAAGCCAGCCCTGGATCCAGCCATTTTGAACAACTTCAGTTCCGTCTCCAACCTTCGCTTTATAGCGAAGGTTGTTGTGTCCGTGGTGGCACACCAACTCCCACAATTCCTGGAGGAAACGGATTATATAGACCCGTACCAATTGGGTTTCAGTCATGGACACAGCATGGAAATGGCATTGGTCGCCCTGGTGAATGATCTCTGGTGGACCCGGGATGGGGGTTATTCCTCCATCCTGGTCCTACTTGACCTCTCAGCAGCTTTTATACCATCGACCATGGTATCCTTCTGCGGTGACTTGGGGGGCTGGGGCTAGGGGGCACTGTTTTACAGTGGTTGTCCTCCTACCTCTTGGGTCGCACAGAGGGACAGAGATCCTCCCCCGATGCCCCTCACTTGCGGGGTGCCTCAGGGGTCGGTTCTCCCCCTTGCTCTTTAACATCTATATGAAGCCACTGGGTGAGATCATTCGTAGTTTTGGGGTGAGGTATCATCAGTATGCTGATCATACCCAGATTTACATCTCCATCCTGGACCAACATAGGGATGCCTTTTCCGTGATGTCTAAGTGCCTGGAGGCGGTGCAGGTCTGGATGGGTAGGAACAGGCTCAGACTCAACCCCTCCAAGACGGAGTGGCTGTGGATACCAGCATCTCATGGTCTAGTGCCCCCATCACTTCAGATGGGGGGGGGAGTTACTCACTCCCTCTGAAAAGGCTCGCAATCTAGGCATCCTCCTGGATTTGCAGCTGTCCTTGGTCGACCATTTGACAGCCGTGACAAGGGGGGCTTTTGCACAGGTTTGCCTGGTGCACCAGTTGTGCCCTTTCCTAGACGGGGATGCCCTCCGTACAGTCACCCATGCTCTTGTCATCTCTCGTTTGGATTACTGCAATGCCCTCTACATGGGGCTGCCCTTGTGGTGCACCCGAGGCTCCAACTCGTCCAGAATACGGCCACGCATACGGGGGCTTCCCGTTACTCCCGTATTACATCTCTCCTGCGCGAGCTGCACTGGTTACCGGTGGTCCTTCGGATCTGCTTCAAGGTGCTGGTATTTACCTATAAAGCCCTTCATGCATGGGCCTGGGGTACTTGCAGGATCACCTTCTGCCTGCCTCCAACTGCCCAGTGCGCTCACATAGGATTGCCCTCCTCCGGGTGCCATCGGCCAGACAATGTCGGCTGGTGGCGCCCAGGAGGAGGGCATTCTCTGTGGGCGTACCGACCCTCTGGAATGGTTTACCCACTGGGCTCTGGATGGCCCCCGACCTCCGCTCTTTCCGCGGTGACCTGAAGACATGGCTTTTCTAACAAATTTGCTGATCTGATGGGAGTTTTAACTTTAATCCTTTGGGAATTTTAATTGAGTATTTTAGTCGTAATTTTACTGTTTTATTGTTTTATCTTTGTGAGCCGCCCCGAGTCCTTTGGGAGAAGGGCGGCATATAAGTATAAATAAACTAAATTAAACTAAACTAGACCAGGGGTGAAATGCTCCCGGTTTAGACCGGATCACCCGATCTGGTAGCAATGGCGGCGGGTGGTTTGGAGAACCGGTAGCAAAAAATCCCTGCACCCACCCACCCCCCATGCCCAGCTGAGCCACGCAATCATCAGAGGCTGTTTTTTTGCTTTTAAAAGCATTTTTTCTACAACCTCTTTGGCCGAAAATATGCTTTTAAAAGTGAAAAAAAAAACCTGATGATCGCGTGGCTCAGCTGGGAATGTCAGAGCCTTTTAAAAGCATTTTTTCTACAACCTCTTTGGCCGAATAGGTTGTAGAAAAAATGCTTTCAAAAGGCTCTGACGATCCCAGCTCAGTTGCCTGATTGTCAGAGGCTTTTTTTTTCTTTTAAAAGCAAAAAAAAAAAAAAGCAAAAAGCAAAAAAAAAATTATATAATCAGGAGTTAAAAATTGACATGGAGAAAACTGGATGACTTTGCAGAGTTCATAATATACAATAACTGCCATGACCATTGGTAATTTAGGTAAATGAGGGAACACACAATGATACTATGGAAGGAGATGATCAACGACAGTGTTGGCCATGCACTCTGTTTCCAATGAGTTCACCTTTTATTTGAAGGAGAATCCTGATTAATCCAGGTCTGATTTTTTTCTTAATTCAGAGAAAAGGGAGAGAAGACAATTTTATTGAATTTTTAAAAAAGATGGCTCGCACAACTTATGTTAATTGTGGCATGATTTGAGTGCCATTGTGCTGTGTTCATCCATCCATGTTGCAAGGTCCCTAATTCCCCACATTATGGTTCAAACTGAGAAAAATGTATCATGAGGAACTTCTCTTGTGGATTCTTTAGACCAGGTTGGCTCCAGAGTCGATGGAAAATTGTGCAACTATGGGGGAGGGGGAGAGAGAACAAAATAGAAAAACAGCACCAAAGCCTTCTGCCATCTGACAATAAGTTCAAAAATATCCGCTCCCAGAGAAATTTTAGAAAATTTTAAAAAATCACTGAGGAGATAGAAGACAACTGAAGAAAGCTTTTGAATAATTGGAAGACAAATGTCAATTCAACATTAAGAAGGATAAGAAGAGCAGCAATGATCTTGCCATGATTCATCAGTACTTAACCGCTGGAAAATCAGAGAGAGTCCTTGTATTTTCAAATAATTAGAACCATATTTGCTGTGAACTTGGTTTTGAAAGCTTGCACACTTTCTAAAATCAGTAGAATTTAAACATGGCTTAAATATTAATTACCATACACCAATACCAAACAAAAATGAGCTCTTTGGGGATAATGCATATAATGAACATCACATCATGTGGGCCTGGCCATTGGTAAGTGGTGAGGTTCGAGTTCAATCCTCAGGAGAGGTTGAGCACTTATCTAAGCCAAGTTAACAGGCAGAACAGCTGCTTCTTCTCTTGCTGCTTGTTAAGCTTCAGTCTAGAGCAGGAGTGTCAAACTCTGGCTTGCAGGGTGCTTAGATCTAGCCTGCAGGGCTACCCTGGAAACAGTGAAGGACCACCCCGAAGTGCCACTGCCAGTGAAAACAGAGCTCGAGAAGGCCATATGCAGCCCTCCAGGAGTCTATTTTCAGCTGCAACAGCCTCCTGCATCCCTCTGCCAGTGAAAACTGAGCTCGGGGGGGGGGGTGCATGAGGGCTGCAGCAGGCCGTCACAGCTGAAAATGGAGCTTGGGAGCCTGTTTTTACCAGCAGAGCACTCAGGCCACCACAGGCACCCTGAAATGAGTGACATTAATCTTGCCATGCAGACCCTGGCCATGCACACTCCTCCGGTCCCCTGAAGTCAAACACAACCCTGATGCAGCCCTCAATGAAATCTAGTTTGACACTCCTGGTCTAGAGAAAAGACAAAAGAACAGATTTGAAGAAGTAACACTGGCCCTCAATACATTTTTAAAGACAAGAATCACATTCCTATCATGTATAGGATTACAATTGGAATGCTATAGAACTGGGAGATTATGACTGTCTTCAAGTGATGAAGAGAACCCTAGAGGAAGTTTGTGTTTGACCCTATGCTCTTTACACTTTGGGACAAGGAAACATAGGCCCTTTCCATTTCAGGTAATTCATCACCATTTCAAGTGTGGGTTTTTTTTTTTTATTTCTTTGTTTACTTTGGTAGCTGCCTTTGAGTTGAAACATAGAGCATAAGTCAAAGTAATAAATAAACAGTATCATGCAACAGGATGAATATAAAAACAGGGAGAAGCACTGCCATTGTCAATATCCAGGAATCCCAAACTGAAACATTCTCAACCATAAATTGAGAATTGTTTTCTGAAAAATTAAAGATTCCATTAATAATCCATACAGAGGCATCCAAAGATCAGAGGCTGCTTTGCTGCCTTGCTGTCCAAGACAGAAAGAGAAATCCAAGCTTACAAATCAAGGCAAATATACGGGTCCCAGGATAATGTTGCATGATCTAATTTGAGCCAGTCACTAGAACCAGATGTTTAGTCTTCCATGCTTTCAGACTTGTGTTGGAGCCCATCCTCAGGATTTACTCCAGAATGTAGTATTTATGTGATTCCTGGTTGTGTGTTGCTTTTAGTTGTTAATTGGGGTATTGATGGTCAGCTATTAAGACGTTGGTTGCTGTTTCCTTCGGCTGCCTCGGTTCCAGGTATTTAAGAGAAATGCTCAAATGTCTCCTACTATTTCTAAATGGAACTATAGCACATTATTTTAACTCGGTGCTAAACATTTTTTGTTTACCGAAACAAAAAATGTTAAGAGTGTATTATTGAAAAGTATTCTTAGACATGGGAAATTATTTTAAAAGAGTGCTGTTAAAACAGTTTTATAATATATTGAAATTTATCTTGCTGATCAATATTAGGAAAAAACGGCTTTTAAAATAAATGTTTCAGGTAGGTTATTTGCTCTTTCTGTTGTAGCCTGTCACTAACTTATAATTTCTTTTTCAAATTAATACAAGAAAAAGGCTAAAAAATAATTTTGTTTCTTTTGCACAATAATTTTCTTCTTAGGCAGCAAACAGGATTAGTCCTTATTAAAAGAAATCCGGGCTGGAAGTATTAGTAAATATTTTTAAATTATTTGAAATTATTTGTATCTGAAATGCACCTTGTGACATTTTCTTTAAAGTTAGTAGAAATCTCTTTTCTTTAAAATTACATTATGTGCACCATGACTATCATTAAGTGTTGTACCTTATGATTCTTGATGAACGTATCTTTTCTTTTATGTACACTGAGAGCGTATGCACCAAGACAAATTCATTGTGTGTCCAATCACACTTGGCCAATAAAAAATTCCATTCTATTCTATTTTAATCAATTCAAATTTGCTCTGCAAAGTACTTTACTTATGTATGTATATATGTGTGGGTGTATGTACAATATTATTACCATATGCAGCAAATTAAATTGTGGGCCATAATAACAGCAAGCCAGCCCAGGTATGCTACAAACAGTTGTGGATTACAGGATTCCTGAAAAAAAAGGGAGGGGCCTCTAGGAGCATTGCCCATATTTTCCTAGAGTCAAGAAGATAACATAGACAAAAACTGCTGTAATTTTTACTAGTGAATAGTGAGTATAATAATCATTTGCCAATTAGGTAGGATAAATCTATCAGAATTTTCAGTTCTGTCCCTTGACTCGTAAAAATTTCCTGGAATTCTTCTTTTTTAAGGTAGCTATGAAAAATTTAATTAAGAACTAGCCAAATAATATTTGGAATCATCTTTCTAACCATCTTTTCATTTTTCTTTTGATATTTAAAATCAATATTGTAAGCAGTGGCTTATTTATGGGCGGGGGATTTTATTTTTATTTTTAATCTCCATTTGGGGCTTTTTAAACATATTATTATTATGTAAATATGGATTAAAGTAAATGAATACATTTAATATCTCTTTAGAAATTCTGCATTTTTTTAATTTCTTTTTTGTTGCTTTTTGCCATTTGGTTGTATTTTCTGCAATAAAGATTGCATATATGTAATATTTTTGAAATGTCATTGGAAGGTAAGGGCAATTGTTTTTTCTACCTATGCGTTGTTCTTTTGTTTTTCTATGTAATCACAAAGTTTTTTTAAGGACTGTGATTAAAACATTTCTGAAAGAAATAAAATCCAAACATGCCATAGGTGATTTGTATTTTGGTTTCCGTATCAGCAAAGTTCAAAATTTTATTTCTTTTCTAATTGGTTGATTTCAGTCTTGTTACTCAATTTTGTTCTATGTATAAAAAACCCTTTCTCATTTTCTGATGCGCAGTTCCGTTTATCTTTAATTCTATGGATGTTAAATATCTAAATTTTATTCTAGAACTTCTATTCTTTAAGGAATCTAAAATTATTATACTGATGTTTGGATATTTATATAGACAAAATGAAGTAATTGTTTGCATCAATAGAGGTAGTGTTTGATAGGAGTTATTTCAATGCTAAAAGAAGAGAAAATATTCGCATTTCAAAATAGTCTGTAAATATTGTGAAATTTGCCTCCTAATAGATTAAGGTGACATTTTGTTTATTTTTATCACAAATAATTTTATCCCCCTCCTTTTTTAATGGAATATTATTACACAAAAAAGGAAATAAAGGTCTGGATATATAGTAAGTATGAACTACAATTTCTAGACACTCAATGTTATCTTAGTTGTTGACTAACCAACACATTTTGTCTATTTTATATATTTATATGTGAGTGCCTATATGTTAAAACTTTTACCAGATGATTGAATGTATTTTGAAGGTGTGAGAAAAATAAAGGAAAATTGCAAGAATAAAAAAAGGGGGAAATGGATGTTCAGAGGAGAAATTAGCTTACTTTCCAGATAGACAAATGAACACTTTATCATATACTGGAATGAACATTATAACATTAACTATTGAACAGATTATTTTATGATGAAATGTTTCATTCTGCAAGGTTTTTAAATTAAGAAAATAATTGTGCAATTTGAAATTGCTCTAATGTCACATACCTAAAATGTAATTGCTATGTAAATAAATTTAACATTGCCCCAAACATGAATCTCTCCCCCCTGTGCATCCTGCTCCCTTCCCCATATTTAACTATAATTTTGCTTTTTTGCTAAATAGCAATAGCACTTAGACTAACATATCACTGCATAGCGTTTTACAACCCTCTCTATGCAGTTTACAGAGTCAGCATATTGCCCCAACAATCTGGGTCCTCATTTTACTCACCTCGGAAGGATGGAAGGCTGAGTCAGCCTAAATTTGATGTTATTGTTTTTAGAAATATTTATGTTTTACGGTTTTATAGCTTTTAATTTTGCAAGCCACTCAGAGCTGCCTCAGGACAAGATGGGCAGCAAATAAATATAATAAATAAATAATATAATAAAAATATGAGTAAATAAACATATATAAACTACACCCAATTGTGAATTTCTTTATCTAACCAGTATTTTACCAAACCAACCTTTTTAATCAATGGATATATGAGTTTTTGCAAAAGTTATCTCTAAGGCATAAACTAGAGATTTTAGTTCTGTTCCTGACTTTAAGTTTTACAGAATTATTTAATTGAAATTTTATTGCAGATAATTTCATAACTATAATCTTACATGTCACATTATGGAGACCACAATCAAAAATGTAAACAATGCTTATATTGGAGCTTGAGCTTCAGTGTTCACAGAGGTATTTATTAAATGATTCAGAACTGCTTCTTGCAGGGATACATATACACTCAGCACATTGGGATATTCAAGAAAGGATGAAAAGGAATTTAAAACTGCTTCTTTATGCAATAATTATTTAACTCGGTTGATCAAATATGCTTTCTCATCTCATTTTAATCAATGATGGATGCACCTTTCTACACTTTTCTGTTTTGTTGTAACAGATTAAAACTGGAATTGTCCATTATGGCGAAGGAATGATAACTGAAGAGGGAGGACAAAGAAACACAGATGCTAAAAAAATGGCTATACTTTTGATATATGACTTACCTCCGAGATCTTAGCAAAAACATGTTTTCTTTTTTGCCTTCCAGAATGGAATATAAGAACCTTCTCCTGAGCTTCCTTCTTTGCGGCATGTTGCTTACAGCCAGCTATTGTTACATGATATTTGAGGAAAAGCAGAACTCAGACAACTATGCGATAAATAGCAACAAAATCAAGATCCCGGATCTCCCTCCCATCTCTATAGTAGGTTGGTAAAAATGAATCCTGTTTTGAATCTTAAGGCCAGCAATAAACACAGATTCCCAAAAAAAAAAAATATGGTGAGATGTAAATTTCAGAAAGCAGGCTTGGATGTTGCCCACGTTAACAAGGTCCATGCTAGATGTTGGAGTTCCTGGCTATCTGGTGAAAAATGGGCTACAGGACTCAGGGCTTTTGTTGTTGTTGTTGTTGTTGTTGTTGTTGTTGTCTCTTTTATTCATTAAACATGAAACTCAGTCAAGTGAACATTTAAAAATGTATCACAAATATCATTGACTGGCGCTAATAGTTGATACGGGTTTCTGCCAGCATCCTAGATATCAACCAGGTATCTTCTTAAGATGTACGATGTTCCGAGTAGCACAGTATTTTGCAGTTCTGCTGGTGTTATTGCAAGAAGCTGCAATTTCTTGATGTATTTTATAATTCTTGGACATGTTACCAAGTGCCCCAATGACAATGGGTATCACTGTTACATGTTTCATCCATAATCGCATAGTTTCGATGGCCAGGTTGCGATATTTCATGATTTTTTCCAGTTCCTTTTCTTTGACTCTGGTGTCTCCTGGTACAGCGTTATCAATAAATTGTATGGGACTTCTGGTGGCTCCGCAGGCGTCGGCGGTCGCTCCTTTGGGAGTGCTAGCCCCATGACTTCGTTAAGCTGCTAGAACAGCGAAAATCAGCTGTCTAGCAGCTTTGAAACTCTCTCCTCAGGAAAAGAGGGGAGAGAGAGCAGTCAGATGCGGGTAGAGCTCCCCAAGAGCTCCAGGAACAGTTCTGGAGCTCGAAGGGTGAGAGCTCCCCAGGAACCTGGCAGAGCTCCGAATCCGGGACGTGTCTGCTTCATGCAGAACAAGACACCGCAACCATCCCTGCAAGCAACTTTTTAACAACACTTGGATTAAAAGCAGGCAGAGCAAAGACAGGAGACATTATAACTGCAAGTAACAAATTTTAACTCCAGCTGAATATTGTTTTTTTCTGGGTCTGATGAGAACGGGAAAAAGTTGAAAGAAAATGGTGCTGGCTTGTTATGGGCGTGGAAAATGAAAGTTAAAGAAGAAAGTGCTTGTTAACTTGTTAAAGGTGTCAGCCCCGTTTAACTCTAATGGACATTGCTTTAAAGAATTAAGACTCTGGGACTAAAAGAATAAAGTATTGACTTACTATAAGCCATATTATTGGTTAAAGATCAAGATTAAAATATTTACTGACTCAGTGGGCTGGTTGTTGAAAATTACAATTTGGGAATGGCTTCAAAGCAGACAAAAACAGGCATTCCAAAAAGTGCTGGAAGTTCTCCTGCTCAAACCCCTAAATTGCAGTCTTTGTTGGCCCCAGTGGATACACAGGCACAAGCACAAATGCAAACACAAGTATTGACACTGGAGGCTCTTCAAGGTGCCTTAAAGGTACAAGCCTCTGAATTGCAAGAAAAAATCACATCTGTATTTAAAGATGTCTCTGAGGAAATGGCAGCAATTAAGGACCTAATCCAAACTCGTAATCAAGAAATAAGAGAAGACACTGTGGAAGCATTTCAGGGTTTGGTGGGTCATATTACATCATTGGAGGAAAAGGTTGAAGAAATTAATCAATCTAATGTGAATTTGGAGGTTAAAGTGGATGAAGCTCAAATCAAGATTGACAAGACAGAGGCAGAACTTATAAAGACACAATATAGGGCGATGGAATTTGCTTTGAGGGTAAGAGGCTTAAAAGAAAATAATCAGGAAAATTTAAAAGAGATTTTTGCAGAAGCTCTTGCACAGTTAACTAGAGAGTCCAAAGCAGAGTGTGACTGGCAAATTGATAAAATTTATCGTGTTAATTCATGGATTGCCAGGCAAAGACAACTACCAAGAGATATTGTGATCTATTTTATTACCATGAAGATAAGAAATGGGATCTTACAAGCTTCTTACAAAAATAAACTACAAGTGGCAGGACAGGAGGTTGCAGTATTCAAGGAAATTCCCCCTAAAATGTTGAGAGCTAAAAAAGACTATGCATTTTTAGTGGATGAATTGAGAAATTGTCAGATACAGTATAGATGGAAGGTTCCAGCCGGATTAGTGGTGAATTATTCAGGAGAACGATATCGTCTCAATACAATTTGGAAGGCAAGAGATTTTTATGTCAATGTACTAAAGGCTGGATACCCACCATCTCCAGGAGCCAGAAAAAGAAAAGAAGCAGGAGACGCTAGAAAGGAAGGCTTGCAAGCACAAGCCCAGGGAGAGGCTTGGAGTACCCAAGAAGAATTAGTGCAACTTTCGGGGGCTGTGCAAGCCTTGGAGTTATTTGAAAAAACAGAAGAAGCCCAAGAACAAAGACAAACACGAGCGGCAATTAAACGAAAGGAACAAGAATTAAAGATGCAACAAACCCAGATAACGACCCAAGTAAGTACAAGCATAAATAAAGAAGCTGTTGGGGGTGGGGGGACAAGACCGAAGAAGAAATTCCAGGAGGATTTCCAATCGGTGCTCAAAAGGCTTCAGGGGGCCATAGATGGCAACTAGATTTTTAACTTGGAATGTCAATGGCTTAAACTCACCGCAAAAAAGGAAGAAAGTATTCCATTACTTGAAACAATTTAAAAATGATGTAATTTGTTTGCAAGAAACACATATTAAGGCAAATGACCAAAAATATTTGATAAATGCGAGACTGGGAACACATTTTGTGGCATCTGCTCCAGAGAAGAAAAATTGTATAGTTATATATCTAAAGAAAGACTTAATAGCTAAATTAATTGAAGCAGATCTGCAAGGTAGATATATTGCAATTGAATTATTAATCGAAGGAAAGAAAGTACTTTTAGTGGGAGTATATGCACCCAACCAACAACAAGACAGATTCTACAAGTTGCTACGTACAAAATTGAGAAACTGGGACTATAAATCTTGTATAATGTTGGGTGACTGGAATGGAGTATTGGATGGACAAAAAGAAACTTTTGCAAAATACTCAAATGCGAGCAAGATTGCCTAAATCCTTTTTTGACATGATGGAGGATATGGTGCTGAGAGACATTTGGCGTGAATGGAACTTTAAAGAACAAGACTTTACATTTTTCTCAGATAGGCACCAATCTTTTTCTAGAATTGATTTTAGTTTATATTACAACTTCAAATGGGAAATTATATAAGTATAATTATGAATTGTTATGGCATAAAATACAGACAGAGATGGATAATTGGAAAAAATTACAACTGTCTTTGTTGGGTAGAATAGCAGTAGTAAAAATGAATGTTTTGCCTAAGTTTTTATTCCTTTTTCAAATGATACCAATATTAAAAAAGGATGCGAACTTGGAAGAATGGCAGAAGGGCATTAAAAATTTGGTAAAACAAATTAGAGACCAGAGTCAAATGCATATAAAAAGGTTGTATAATATATTAATAGAAACAGACTCGGAAACAGAATTAGTTAAGGACTGTATGATAAAATGGGCACAAAACTTTGAACAACCAATAATGATGGAAACATGGGAAAAAATATGGGTAAGAAATGTAAAATTTACACAAGCGCAAAACTTGAGAGAAAACTTTTACAAAATGTTTTATAGATGGCATTTAGATCCCAAAAAGTTAGTTTTGTATGTACCCGAATTTACAATCTCAATGTTGGAGATGTGATTGTGATGACGCTACTTATTTTCATGTATGGTGGACTTGTAAAAAGGTTAAAGCATTCTGGATAAAAATTTGGTGGATTATTCAAAATATTCTTAAAAAGAGGATAAAGTTTACTCCACAGTTATTTTTGTTGGGTATAATCACGGATTGTACGGTTATAGAGACTAATTTGATCCTGAATTTAATAACTGCAGCAAGATTGTTGGTGGCGCAGTATTGGAAGAAGGAAGATTTGCCAACTACTCAAGAATGGATATTAAAAGTAGCAAATTTAGCAGAGATGGCAAAGATTTCAGCGTATTTGAAGGACTATTCAAATGAGAAATATATGATAGAATGGAGAAGATGGATAGATTATATTCAAAATAAATATCGGACTAAAAAATTTCAAATAGTTTATGAATAGATAGAGAGATGTTATTATGTATTCAAATTTAATCTGGTAAATGTGGAGTTAAAGTATTAGAGGGATGTAAGAGGTTATAATTAATTAGACTATGTTAGATTATGATTGTTGAATGTTATACCCTGTATTTTGCTCTGGGAAGTAGGGAGGGAAGGGTGGAGGGAAGGGGGGGATATATATGTAAACTTTTTAAAACTTTTCAATAAAATAAATTGTATGCTTCATTTTTCGACAACTGTGACATCTGGCGTGTTGTGTTCCAAATGACAATCTGTCTGTATTCGAAAGTCCCACAAGTTTTTCAACTTCTCATTTTCGACAACTTTTTCCACTTGATGTTCCCAGTTGTTGTTGTTGTTATTATTATTATTGACTCTGGAACAACTCTGGCTGGCTTACATTTAAAAAAAAAAAAAGGGCTCCACAAATGTAAATCACAAGGCCTAGGAGAAGAGATAAGATTTAAAGATTTCGGGAACATCATCAAATTCGGAGCAATAGAGATCTCTGGAAAAATATCATTCCAGAGGACAGGCGCCAGGATAAATGCTCTGTGTTTGCAGAGTGCAAACATTGCAGTGAAACTATATACCACATAAACAGATAACAAATTTAACCAGTTACATATGGACACTGTTTTCTCTCACCATAATATAATATCACAGATATGATTAAAGTGGCAGTTAGGGGGCAAGGGGCTGACCAGGACCCCTAGAAAATTGAATTTACTTTATTCAATTTAGGCGCAATCTGTCCCTAGGCAGCAGACAATAAACCAACGGAATAAAGTAGAATATTTATGGAAAAATTATAAAAAGAAATAAACAAAAGAATATAATCCCATAACATTGCTGAAATATTTCAAAATCTTGAATTTTTGTGAAAGCTAAATGGTTGAGTAAAATATATTTAAATTTGCTAAAAGAAAGGAAC